TTGGCCACGCCACTGACTGCGATTTCCAAAGTGTCATCTGTATTTTTCAGCTCTTCCATGTATAAAGAATCCAACAGCAGTTTCCTTCAAGGTTGAGTAAGTTTGAATCTTTAGGGGGCTGTAGCCACAAGATTTGGCAAGCTATTCACTTGTCATGTTAATAAAAAAGGAATTGTTTCTGCCTCTTTAAGCTAAATGAAGGAGTTGGATCAACTGGATTTTAATCATAAAGTCCAGATTCTTCTTGCTTGCTAGTGAATAACTTCATGGTGTTCAGGGGTTTCATCCAATTTAATTTTATTTAGAAGAAGAACTGAGCTTCTTCCACGTTACCCATCCTTGAATTTGCTTGCTTGTTATGCTGTTCAAGCCTAATCCGTTATCTTGATCTCAAAATGAAAATTGAGCCTTTCTGCACTTTTTATTTCCCATAAGCAATTGAACTGAAAAGTGGGGTAGTTTGGTTGTTGTTTTTTTTTTTTAAACTACTTAGGTTGTTTTTTATGGGTGGCATGTTAGCTTTGAGGGCTGTTTCATGACTGGTAAAAGCTTATGTCTTGTAAAATCTATAGCTTTTAATGCATTTTGTTTCTCACTTCAAACAGTACCGAGAGAAGAAATAATAGAATATTTCATGGTCATGCTGCTTCTACAGTTCAGATTCTTTTTTACTTGGTGCTGCTGATTCTGTAGCTCCAAATGCTTGAGCTTAAAATTTGATTTCCTGAATTCCTTAGTCTGAAAACGTTGAAACTCAGAACAAGCTGTAATACACCCTGAAGAACTGTCTTGCTTACATGATTACTTTTCCTCTGCACAGAGATTGTAAGAAACTAGATCAGATAAATGATTATATTATCTGTGGAATGCAAAAACACAGGGTAGATAATATTTGGTGTTGAAGACAGCTTTTCCCCACTCTTTCTCTCATGATCTGTTTTAACGTTGAGAAAGTATCACCCTTGAACGAACCCAGATTAATTTTAGGTTGCAGTGTAGATATCTGATGCAAACCACCATAAATATCAGTGTGTCTTAGCAAAAGGTCCTCTTGTTACTAATTACCCTCATTCTCTGTATCTGCCCCAAGAAAGACAGAATTTTGGGATGTTTCTCCTTGCCTTCAGCTCTTGGGGTGAGGGGATGAATCCAGGCACTCACAAGAGACCAAGATGTGTGTTCCATCAGGAACAAAGTTCAGAGTAAAATCATCAAGCCTCTGGTTCCTATAACAGAGTTTAGTTCACATGGGATGATTCTGGGCAGAAATTTAGGGTCAGTGTAATTTTGGACTTGCTGAACCATTTTAAAGTAAAACAGAAGAGGTTTAGATGGGATATTGGGAAGAAATTCTTCCCTGTGAGGGTGGGCAGGCCCTGGCACAGGTTGCCCAGAGAATTTGTGGCTGCCCCATCCCAGGAAGTGTCCAAGGCCAGGTTGGACAGGGCTTGGAGCAACCTGGACTAGTGGAAGGTGTCCCTGCCCATGGCAGGGGATGGAACAAGATGGGCTTTAAGCTCACTTCCAACCCAAACCATGGTGTGATTCTATGATTCCATGAATTTGGCCATTGTTCCCACCAGATTTTCAATGCAGACCTGCAGGACAAGGTACCATCAGCCTGGAACTGGATGGTGCTTTGCCTGCCAAGTAATTCCATTGAAATAAAGGGAAATATTAAAATAGGAAGGGCTGAAAATGAGCAAATGTGGTGGAGGTGAATACATCAAAAAATGACCTGTGCGGGACTAATTCAGTGAGCAAAGCAAAGCTGCCTCGTACCTGACAGGTCTGAATTCAACAGGGTGCTTTGTAAACAATAAATCAATGCAGGTTGTTTCTGTGAGTGCATAAAAGGTGTGAGAACTGTAATTTATTTTATAATAAATACTTGTGCTGAGCAAACAGTGAATGCAGCTATTACAGACTTTCTCAAATACATGATTTTAGGCTGCTGAGTGCCAGCTACTGATGTGGTAGTTGAGCTTTTAAAATGAAAAGCCTGAATTCCTTTTGAAGATTCTCCTGAATGCTGTTGACACTTGTGCTAGGAAAGAATACAGAGTAATTTAATTCATTACTTTACTTAAAGATAACGCTTCTAGTTGCAGCATTACCCTCCATTGGTGTGCAGACTGTGAGGCTGGAGGTGTTTTTTTTGGAGATGTTACATCCTTTTATTAGGAGTGCTGAAAAGCTTGGGAGAAAAAAAAATGTAGGAGGGAGAGGGGAGTTCAGGATCAGTCAGCTGGTGTGTCTGGATACAAGGACAAAGGGACAATTTTGCCCTTGGCTACAGTTTGACACTTCTACTGGATTCAGTCAGAATTATCTGCGTGTGCTGAAGGGCACAAATGTCATTTTTATGGTGTTCTATATCCTCAGTTGCTTTTTTTTGTAATTGGCTGCGGATCCCAGTGCTGTAATAGAGCTCTTAAATCCTGACCCCGGCCGGAACAGCTCACAAATACCTGTATTAACACTTCTGTCCGTTTGAAGTGCAGGGGCTGTCCTGAGTCCTTCCACCTTGTTTGTCAGGCACCATCTTGTGTTTCAGCCTGTTTTACTGGCAGCCTCCCACCTTTCTGCTGGCTTGGGCTGTTCCTCTGCTTGGTCCCACCTCCCCTTGGTCCGTTGGCCTCGAGCATCCCTCTGTTCCTTCCCTCACTCCACTGTCTCCATCAGTTTCCCTACCCTTGGCTCCCCTTCACTTGCCTGCCCTTCACTAGCTGAGGGCCCTTGGATGGGTCCCAACCCTCTCCCATTCTGCCCCTTCATGCTCATCTTTCCTCCATCAGAGTCACCTTCTCTTCTGCTAAAAAAAGGAAGTGTTTCCTTGCCTGGACTGAAACCCCACCCTTCTGATCCCAAAGCTCTTCCTCCCCCCACCCGAGGGGTTTGTGCTTCTCAGTCTTTCACTCCCCTCAGATTCTTGTGTTCCAGCCCTTTGGGTGATACCTGGCACCCCCTGTTTGAGAGGAAAGGCAGGGATTTTATTCTTCAAACCCTACGGAAAAGGGAGCAGAAACAGGATTTGCCGGAGCTGTGGCCGGGGTGTGCTGGGGTGGGACATTCCCAGCTCTGATCCGGGAGGCATGTGACATAACCCAGACATCATTTACTGGCTCCATATAACCTGAGGCATTCGCACATAAATTCAGCCTGAATGCATAAGCTTGTACAAAGAGGATCCTTAAACTATCCTGGCTAAAAATACTTGTGAAATGCCGGGAAGCATCTTTGTGGTGCATTAGGATGCTCTCTTGCCTCTTATCTCTGTTACAGATACACAGGGCCATGGTCTTAGGGATGTGTGTTCCATGGGAAATGCTGTAATTTTCATGGGTGCATTCATAAGTATTTTGGGCCTGGAGTCTGAAACAAAAGATGTTTCACAGCTACAGAGGCTAAAGAGATGGAAGGTGTTGTTGTAGGCTGACATTAACCTGTCCTGGGCTGCTCCTTTCAATCCTTCTTTGCCCAAGCAGTGGTTGTTCAATTCAGTAAGTAATGGCCGTTATTTATTATTAATTCAAAACATCCTGTGCAGGAGTTTTTCCCATTGTAAGAGCACATTAGCTTCTCCTGCCCAAGAAAACACATGTTAATCTGTTTTCCATTATTGTCCAAAAGACTTTTTCAGAAGGCAGTTCATGTTGCCCCGACAACATTAAAGGCTGTAATTAAAAATAATTTTCCATTAATTTATATACATGCACATTTACTTATTATGATCTTTTACTGCATTTCCCTGAGTGTACACACAGAAATCTAAAATGCTGCTGAAGATTAAGTCAATATTCAGTGTAATGATCCAGTGCCAGAACCCTGACATACTTCAATTAACCATCTTTCCTAACAAACACCTGCATAGGGAAATGGATCTTCTGTGGGAATCAGCACAAAACCAAACCCTGACTTTTTCTGCATGGGCAGAGGAAGGGAATTCCAGCATTTCACAGCTTTTACTGATAACGATCTGCTACAGATTAAAAACAAAAACCAGACATTATGGTGTTGGCAGATTGCAAAAGGACTTGCTGGTAAAGCTGCTGTTCAGAGGAGATGAGGATCGTGTTTATTGCTTCCATATGGTCCAGGGATACAAGACAGGCAAAATGTCTGGGGAGAATAATATGTCTTATGGTATTGATGCAGAACATTCTTGAGGTCTTCCAGCCCTTTTCCTGGTACCTTTCCCAGGTGAGAGCCTGAGTGGGAAATATTTGCCCACGATTCCGCATGAAGATAAGAAAAGATTGTTTAACGATTGGCTCCATTTGTGTGAGTGAAGGATTAGAAATGCTGATGTTTAAGGGGCCAGGTCTGGGAGCTGCCACCTAACACTGTTTTTCCTTGACGGTTTGTGTAGTTTTCAACCCTTTGACTTTCTTATTCAGCTTTGCAAAGTGCATTAAGAGTCTAAATTTAGAGTTTGATAAATTTGTGTCAAAAAACCCTCTTTTCCGCATAATGTAAAATTAAATTTCTTGGTCTCTTTGACCTCCTGATATATTTTTTTTTTTTCAGCCAAATTTAGAACCAAACTTCCAGGCACGCTGAAACAGAAGAGTAACAGGGTACTTTCATGTGTGGGTGTATGGGTAGTTGACCGAAGAACTGCAGTCTTTGACTTTTCCATAATCATCACTTGTGAAGCACCTTTATGTGTTGGAAAGATGCCACTGCCCTTGTGCAGAATTTTGGGGAGTAAGACCTTCAAAGATCTAATGAATATGCTTAGATGTTAATATCCTATTTCACTGCAAAAACGGAACAGACAGAGGAATTGGAGACTTGTGAACCAGTCCACAGAGCTGAAACCCAAGAGGATTCCACCAGTCAGAAGATGAGCTGATCAGTCCCTACTGGGTCCTTTTATAAATAAATATTGAAAATGGTCATTGTTTGTGTGAATGTTGCAGTTGTTGCCATGCATGAACTTGTATAGCAGGTGTTCTCCATGTGATAACAGAACTTCTGCTCTCTCGTTCTCCCAGGGCTGATGAAATCGAGATGATCATGACAGACCTTGAAAGAGCAAATCAGGTAGGATTTTAAAGGAGCCCTCCATAAAATTCTAAGTGTGACTTTGATTTTCCTCTTTTAATTCTCCTTTGGATTTCATGACAGTTCTTGTATATGCACTTAGCAGTCATAACTGTGTAGAGTAAGAAAATATGCAAATTTAGAGCAAAATACAGCTCTTTGGGGATGCTCTGCAAGGATTGTGTGCGCAGTGGAGTAGTGCTTCCCATATATTTACCTTCTAATAATTTAAACTTACATTTCCCACTGTAGTTATTCTTGGCTTTATGTTTCTCAATCCCTCATGCTGGTCCCTACTCAGACATTCAGGTGACTGGGTTACCCAAATTAAAGAGCCTCTGCCCTGTGGCTGTGGCAGGGCTGCAGCTTTTATGGACTTCTCCAGAGTTTTCTTTTCCTTTCCTTTTCTGATATGTTTTATTGGTGTATTAATTTTTTGCAAGGGTTGGATCAGGCTGTGCCATGTAGGACAAGGAAGAAATTAAGCCATTTGTTCCTGCAGATGCTAATTTGCAGATGATAATTTGGCAGAAATATCCCACCCACAATCCCTTGCAGGGCACATGCTCCTGACAAAGTGGCACAATCGTGTGGGACTTCTTAAAATAATAAGTTTTTAAAAATTCCAAACCCAACACCCAAGCCAAGTGCCCTTGTGGTCCAGACTGTACTTTGAGTGGCTGTTTGAGGTGATGCAGGAGATGGTCATGGACAGGCAGGATTCACAGGTGACACACACAACAGGCAGTGGTTTCACAGAGGGAAACCTCAGCAAGGAATTTGCTTATCAGTGACATTCATTAAACCTTCTGTCAGGTAAAATCAGAGATTACAGTCTTAAACCTCTCAGGTTATGGGTTTATAATCCTGCTGAACCTTACCTAAGAGCAGCTCACTTGCAGGAGGAATGGGACAGCTCCTTCCCCTCTGTGTGGTCCTGCTGGGTGCCCTGTGCTGTCAGCAGTGCTTGTGGACCAGACCAGGCCGCTGCTCCTGTTGAAAATGAACCCCCTCCTCCAGCTGCTGTTTGGTTTTGCCTTTTTTTCCTTTTGCCAGATCAGCTTTCAGTCCCCACCCTCCCCTGGTGCAGCTGTCAAGTCTTACGTCTTGGCCTTTACATTAGTTCTTGATAAATTGGACAAATACAAATCACAGAATCATTTACACTGGAAAAGCCCTCTGTGATCATCCAGTTCAACCATTAACTGGGCACTGCCAAGGCCACTACTAACCCATGTCCCCAAGTGCCACATCTTTTAAATCCCTCTAGTGGTGAGGACTGCACAGCTGCCCTGGGCTACCTGTACCAGGGCTTGATAACCCTTTTAGTGAAGAGATTTTCCCTAATATCTTATCTAAACATCTCCTAAAGCAACTTGAGGCTGTTTCCTCTTGTCCCATCACTTGTTACCTGGGAGAAGAGACCAACTCCCACCTACACCTTCCTGTCAGGTACAGAGTGAAAACGTTCCCCCTGAGCCTCTTTTCTTCCAGGCTGAGCCCCCCCCAGCTCCCTCAGCTGCTCCTGCTGCTCCAGACCCTTCCCCAGCTCCATTCCCTTCTCTGGACACACTCCAGCCTCTTAATGCCTTAATGAAGCTCAAAGCAGATTTGTAAGTTGTTGGCTTGATTATTTAGTCAGTAAAAGCAAACTGGTGTTTGCACAGTGGGTTTTTAGTTCTGTCAAAGAACTTTTGTAGACTGCATTAAATATTTATGAAAGTGCTAGTAATTATTTGGAAATCTGTAGACTTTTTAGAAATGATGTAGGTGTTAAAAGATTTTTTGGTAGAATTATTTTGTGATTTTCACAAAAGCACTACATTTTGCCAGTGTAGCAATGTAGGTTTGTTTTGTTTTTTCCTCTGAGTAGGAAGGGGGTTGTACTTAAAGAATAGGTATTTCTGATTTCCCCATCACCACGCTAAAATGGATTGTATATGTTTATACAGAAGTGCTATTTTTCTGTCTAACTGGAACAAAGCTGCAATGTGGTTTGTTTGTGTTTTGTTTTTTTTTTAACTTTATTGTGGTGGTTTTGTTGTAATTAGGTACAATTTATAACTGCTCGTGTGCATAACCCTTTCTTTGGTTGCAATTCAGCAAAAGCTGGCTCTGTACATTAACACCAGTGTGCAGTTCATCTGAGCTGTTGTAGAGCCAGAAGAGGGGATTCTCTCTTCCCTTTCCTCATCTGCTCCTCCTCTGCCTCCCCCTCCAGCTTCTGCAGTGCCATCCCCTCCCAGAAAGCAGCTCTTGCAACTGGGGGACCATTCATTGACTCCAGTGAGCTCAGTAACTGCAGATTTGGGATGAAGGGGCCAAGTTTGTTTTCTGTGGGTTTAAGGAATGGAGCTCAACAAACCATGGGAAAAGCTGCAATGCCAAAATCAGAACCATAGAATGGTTTGGGTTGGAAGGACCTTAAAGCTCATCTCATTGCAACCCCCCTACCATAGGCAGGGACACCTTCCACCAGCCCAGGTTGCTCCAAACCCCGTCCAACCTGGCCTTGGACACTTCCAGGGATGGGGCAGCCACAAATTCTCTGGACAACCTGTGCCAGGACCTCCCTACCCGCAAAGGGAAGAATTTCTTCCCAATATCCCATCTAACCCTGCCCTCTGTCAGCTTGTAACCATTCCCCCTTGTCCTGTCTCTCCATGCCCTTGTCCAAAGTCCCTCTCCAGGTGAACCCCCCCAGCTCTCCCAGCCTGGCTCCAGAGCAGAGGGGCATCCAGAGCCCTTGGAGCATCTTCATGGCCCCCTCTGGACTCTCTCCGACAGGTCCATGTCTTCCTCGTGTTGGGGGCCCCATGAGGGACAGAAGGGGAGTGTGTGGCCTCAGAGGAGATGGAGAAGGTTCACTGCTTGAGGAGCAGGAGCTGCTGCAGTAGCTCAGCTCATTTGCTGAAACATCCTCGTAGTCTTTGCCTTGTGTGATGCTTTGCCTTTATAAAACACTTCGGTAGATTATATCTAAGTATTGTAGCAGCAATTCCTGTGTTTTACCTCTTTATAGTAAAAAAAAAAAAAAAAATACAAGAAATTAAATCTATTGCACAGGCCAGAAAGTGAGTTTGCATCAGGCTGAAGTGTTACAATTGCAGAAACAAGTACTTAACCTAATTATGTATTTAATAGTTAAATTAACATTTCCTTTTACCATTTCAGTAAGTGCTCATTCCCCATTATTAAGGCTACCTTTAAAGAGTAGTGCTCAGCACGACTCCTGCTTTGTGCATAGACTGCCTTGCTGATTTGGATGTGATGTTTTGCTCCTCTGGAATTAACACTGACCCAAAAGACCAGGATTTGGAGCAGAAATTTACACGTTTCCACTGAAAATGTGTGTGTGGGGGGGGAAATGCTGTAAATTTTTAAATAGCTGATATTTCTTGAAAATCCCTTTCTCTGTTACTGCCCTTTTAAAATCCAGAGCTGGCACTTCAGAACTTCCCGTGTGTGTGAGGACACCTCTGTGGCTCCTGAGAGATGAGGAGGGCCATTTCCCTCTCCAACTCTGCAGGAATGAGGGTGTGGATGTACTCACTGGCCTTGGTCCAGGTGTCCATGTCCTGGATGATAAAAGCCATAGGGACAGAGCTGATGTTGTGACTCCCACCCTCGTGTCCTGTTGGGTGAAACACAGGCCATTCTTCTTCAGACTCCATCACCTCTATTCTGCTGCTGTTTCCCTCATTTGGATCCTCAAGTTTTCCCATGCAGGAGCTTTCTGGGCTAGTTTGTGTGCTATCATCCCCAGAACAAATTACTGTCTCATCGAAATAATTACCTTTAAATACCAGTGAGCTTTGCAATTTTCTGCTCAGAGAGAAGAAGGGGAAGTGACCGCAAAGCTCCATCTCTCCCCTTTGTATCATTAACACGAGGTATAAACTGAATTTGCCCCCAAACCATAATCATGGGAGAAATTAATCCCTCAAATGAGCAGAGCAAGCTGGGGCAGAGGTGGGTGCTGGAGAGGAGGGGGCGGTGGCAGAACAATGACTGGGGTGACAGCCTCTTCCTCAGCTGCTGATCCAGGTGCTCTGTGCCGTTAATCCAAGATCTTGAGGGGGAATTTATGGCAGGACTGGTCCATTCTGACTGACAGAGCTCAGGGTAATGCAAGTGCACCAAGTCACACCCACTGTGAGGGTGAGGTGGGTGTCAGTGGGCAGTAACCCTTCCACTTGAAAGTCCTGAGAGCTTTTTTATAAAAAAAAAAAAGGCAGGAATAGTGCGTTCAAAGGGCTGGCTCACCTACACCTGCCTCAAGAGGAGCCATTAGCTCATGACAGGGAGCTTTGGAAGGGGTGAAGGTCTGAAGCCAATAACCCCCACTTGCTTTCATAGTAAAATGCAACTGCATCATCTGCCAGACAGCAGAGGAGCTGGGAGTCCAATATCCCTCTCCAATCCTCTCCTCATCCCTGAGGTTGTGTGACTGTACAGGACTGAAGTCATAATAGAGCTAAATACAATAGGAATGGCTTATTTTCACTTTACTAACCCTTCAGCTCGACAACAAAACTAACCCACGAGTTCACCCTCACATTTCCATGAAGATTTAATAATGCTGTAGTTTGGGGAAGGGACTCGTTTTATTAAGATTTCATTTTGCACAATAAATCACTGCATATTTTCTGATATGCTACGAAGTATAAGAATAAATAATTAAAACTAAACTACCCATACTTGTCAAAATAAATGATTTATCATAGTTTGGGATACAGCATCTTTGAATTTTTTATTGTTTGATTCCCAGAATATTCTAATTTCCAATCAGGGAAGTTAATGAAGCTCCAGTGTACTTTTCTGCATTCACAGCAGTTACAGTTGTGTGGCTGTTTATTTCACACAAATATTTATGGTTAGCACTTTTCTGTACCTTTTCAAGTTTACACCTTTCCCGTAAGTGTTTATGGCAGTAAGTCACAAATCTTTTGGGATGACAAATTTATTCAGATAAATTATCGTTCTGTTTCTGTGCCTCA